ATAACAGAGAAAGTACACCAAGTAATTACCAGAGTTATTACTTCTGATTGGAAGAAATGCTGTATATTGATTCAAAGCAGCATGTAAATGATCTAAGATATGCAGGCTGTAAGGCTAAAACATCTTGAAATGTACTAGCTAGGAGTTATTCTCCCAGGATAATTTAAGAGTTGGATAGATCTTAAAATTTGCTTCACTCACTGGTTACTCATAGCATATCAAATTTGGGTCACTTAGAATTTGCCCTATGAAATAAAGATCCACGATGGCAATTTTTGTGCATTCAAGTAATCTCTGCATTTACCATGATAAATATAAGCCAGTGTTTCATTTTAACACTCAATCCTAGGCATTTCTAGATATACTTCTGCTTGCAACTTGGCTGCAGAAAGGACTCAAAGGATTACATGCTCAACCATTTGTGGTCATTAAGGCCACTTAATGACTATGACTAATGACTAATGACCATTAAGGCCACCATTAAGACTCCAAGCCTGAGGCCAATTCATCATAATTTTGTTTTGGAGCAGGAAATAAAACTCCAAAACTAGGAGAATATATGGCCCTTAGAAACTTTCAGCTTGACCCATAAATATTTCTAAAAATGGTTATGAAATTGTAGTGATTAACATGGCAAATTGTTAAACTGGAAAAAAAAATCCATATTCATTACATTTCATTATGATAATTTGAATTAAGTAAAATTTAGCTCTCTTATCTCTTCCCTTCTACTATTGAAATATGACCTTCAGTGCACCATTTAAAGGACAACTAACATCCAATTGCTAATAATTTAAACAAACCTGAGTTAGGAGACGTTCCAAAACAAAATTGTTGTCTGTATCGGACCTTGGCAGCCCACAGACTCCCAGAGCCTCTTTTACTACAACCATTGCAACTTAGTGATATAATTTCCCAGCATTTTAAGGCAGGAAACATATGGAAGCTATACTATACATCTTGAATTAGGGTTAACATCTTTACTAAATGAATACCCCTGTCCTTCCAAAAACTTCTACTCTAACACTTAGGGAATGTTATCTAGGCTCATAAGTGTGACAAAGCCTTTCCTGCTTTGCATCATGACTACTGCAGTCTTCACATCTCATAAGGACTTTCCAAAGGTTGTCAAGATATAGTTTTTCACAGCCCTATTTCAGATACTGAACTTTGGTCATGAGTTTGTCAAATTCAGAATTCACAGAGAACTCTGGATAGTTTAAGAGCAGTTACTTCTACACTGTTCTTCTTAACTGCACCAAAGAGAATCAGAGCCCGTGTAAGTGTGAACTTTGGGCATGCTCATGCATGTTACACTAAACCATGGTTTAATATTACATCTGCAAAGCCTTGGTTTCTCTCTGCTAACATATATCACAAAAGGACCTTCATACATTTCTCTCCAGTCATAGGCCTAGCCATCTCTTTTATGATGGGGCCAAAATAGCCACATCATAAGTATTCAGAATCTTAAAGAATCCAAGCAAAGAGCAGAGACCATTCTCATAATGAATTATACTTTTACCTGAATGGGGAACTTCACCAGACTTCCTCATAGCAAAGGTAAGAACCTTTTAAAGTCTGATTCCACCATAGGAGTAATTGCAGTCCCCCCAAATGTAGTCATGCACAACATCAATTTGTAATGAGGTGGTAAAATATGAGGACGTATTTTAGCTGAGCATTAAAAGTGGGATCAAAGTAAGTTTAGCGATTGAGCATCTGTTTTTTTTTTTTAAGCAGAATGCCCTAGCTTCGTGTCTGCTCTGCTTAATAGGATTATATCTAGCTCATGACAGGAAAGATCTCAGTTCCAGGAGATCTACTGCTAGTTAAGGTAGCCAATAGGCTGGATAGAACAACTTATATCAAGTTGATCTTGATATAAATCAGCTTCTTAGTCTTCTGTCATGCCAAGGAAAGAGACACACTATAATCAGGTGCCTGATCTATAAGCGCTCTAAATGAGCTTGGTAGGTGAGGTGTTTGTGTGGGGGGGAAATGTACTGAAAGGAATCCCATTGAAATAAATAGAAGTAGGTGAAGGATTGTGGTCTAAAGTAGCCCTACCCAAATGAAAACATTGAGTTCATTTCTAAATCTGCATGGCAGGTAATCTGCCTGCATAGCAGCAAAATAATAAGTTGGTGGATCTATTCTCCAGACAGCTAAGTAGTTATCCTAATAACTCCAGTGCCTCATTTTGGGGTAAGCCCTTACTAATATCTGCCTTCAGCTCCCATTATGATTTTGAGAGCTGTCTTCTACAACATGACAAAGGCAATGTTTCCAAGATATCTGTTAGATGAAATCTGTGATTAGCTCCCAAAGCCATTAGCTTCCATTAAAAGAAACCATTAAACATTGCCTAAAGGTTACCCTCCTCTTTTGCTCACCCTTTCCACCCCTCCTCCAACCATCCTTCTTAAACCTGCTGGTTCATTCTTTGCTTTAAAGACATGGTTTACATTCACAAAATATATAAAGAAAAATATAAGGTTACTGGATGAGCATATAGTGCTGCAGCCTGACAGCTGCCTGCAAATATTTTCACCATGATTATCCTTACTAAAAGTAAATCACTGGGTAAAGATAGCACAAACGTGACAAGGCTCAAATTGGATGTAACCAACACTATCTGGAATTCTTTTGGCTACATATGGAAAAAAGGGGGGGATTGGGATGCCCCAACCCTCCCTCCCACATTGGAATTATAAGCAGGGTAGGGAGAAAAAAATGAACGCCCCTTCCCTGCTGGTCTTGTAAGGAAACTGGCTTCCAGAATAATTGAGTGAGGTAGATATTAAAGGAACCTTATTTCAGGGAATGAAATGAGAAAACTACAACCTATAAACCATTTACAGTATAAATGTTTAATTAAAGTCAATATTATTACCTTGGAGTGAACTGCTATTGGGACATGCTCAGCAGGAACCCTTATGGCAGAGGCATAACTAGTGGGACAGGACTTCTACTATAGACAAGCACCTATTTTGCAGTCAATGGTTGAAACCACTGCATTCAGATGATGGAATTACTCACTTTTTAAAAAGCAAAATGAAAATAAACCAGATCTATTAAAGGTTTAACGCATTTTGTCGTATTTAAAAACAACCTCCCTTTTTTTAAAAGGCTAAATAGTTTATTCCTCTGCAGTCCTTAGTAGCCTCACATATGTTTAATCTGCCCTCCAACCCCAGCTGGAAAAAGATGACCATCAACTGGTGAAGTGACTCTGTACTGCAAAATTGTATCATAAGCTGGTTTGCAATATTTTGTACCATTTATGGAAACCATTTTTAAAGGACTGGTTAACTAACCCATGTTAAAGGAAGGCTGACAAAATCAGAATACGTTGTCCAGAGTTTGTTCACTGCGATGTGTGAAGCAGGTCCTGTCTGAGAAAAACTCAAGAACGTGAGAGTTCCTGGTTCAACATGCACAGTAAAAAAGGGGGGGAAACAACATAGATGAAACCACCTAGTTTGTTAGCCAGCTCACTGAAAGGTAGAGCCAAATATGCTCATTTGAAAAAACAGTGGCTTGCCACTATATGGAAATCTGGCCTGAAAGGAAGAGATTTTCAAATGTTATTAAAACGATGCATTTAGTAATTCTTGACTTATGAGTATTTGTTCAGCAACCATTCAAAGTTCTAACGGGACTGAAAAAGTAACTTACAACTAGTTCTTGCCTTTGTGAATATTGCAGCGTCCCTACAGTCATGCAATCATAATTCAGGTACTTGATAACCAACATGTATTTACAGCACCTGAAGCATTCTGGGGTCATATAATTGCCAGTTGTGATTTTCCCAGCTGCTTTCCATCAAGCAAAATTAGTGAGGGGAACTGGATTCACGTAAAGTGTGATTTACTTAATGATTGCAGCAAAAAAAGGTTATAAAATTGGAAGCAGTCATATGATGGCTCACTTAATGATCGGACGTTCTAGCAATGGAAGTTCTAGTGCCAACTGGGGTTGTCAGTCCAGAACTACTTGTAATATCATTCCATTTAAATATGGTTTGTGGTCTTTAACACAAAGGTTCTTCATTTTAACCTATTCCAAAATGTGACTGGCTGAAAGAAGAAAATGACCATGCTGTACCTAAGCTGAACAATGAGTAAAAATGCCCAAATGTTGCCTTGTACTACTAATGTGGTACTCCTCATTCTCACAATGCTACGAATTTAACTCTAGAAGTTGAAAAGGGTCTACCTAGAATGCAATTCACTATGAACTCCTACCATACAACCTCCAGAGATTTTCAATGGGGTTTACTCCTACTTTGCCTGGTGGATTCTGCTTTACAGGCCCCAGAAGGATTGAATGCAGGAAAGTTCAGAGTTCAACTGTAGCAGGGCTGAAAAGAGCATTGCAGGGCATACATCAATACTGCAATTTCTGTAGCAGAAGTAAATTGACACCATTTTTATGAACTAACAACGCTGCACAAAAGGAGGTCAGAGATGCTATACGTTCCTATAAGCTGGCACCAGAACTGAGGAAGATTTGTCTAGCTCTTTTGTAAGGACTAAAATGTTTGCTGGCAGTCATAACTGGTTAAAAACAATGTTTTTTTAAAAAAAACAATTTAATGTCTACTAACAAACATTGTACAATGCACAAAACAGTGCAAAACATATAGGAATCAGATTTCACATTTAAAAAGTCATAATAGCAGCACACCTGTGATAACTTACCCCAAAACAAAGATAAGATTAAATAAACCACAATGCAAGAGTCTTTCTACTGTTACACTGTGTAATGAATAGCTTAGATTGGAGGTTTGGTTTTGTAGAAGGTTGTTCTTTCTTTCATTTCTTTTCTTTTAGGAATTTTTTAAAAAATGATCAGAACTATAAATAACTTTCTGGCAATATATACAGACATCAATAATTTAAATATGTTACATCTACTCTTGCATAAAACTCTCAAAGAAAAGTGCACCATAGAATTCACCCCCTCCTTCTTCCATTCTCCCAATTGGGCCTTGCCTTTTCCTTCTGCCCTGAGGTAGCTTTGAAGGGAGAATTCTCAAATCCTGGGAAGAAAATGTGTCACTGTCATGGTGGGAGACACTTTGTTGCCTTTCTTGGTTCTTCCATTTTTGCTCAGGGCCATGTACATTCCAGGATAGATCTGGGACTCATAGGCGTTGTAGTTGTTTGGCAGCAAAATCTCTTTGAATTTACACTCATCACCAAAATGGCTCTGAAATGAGAGTGGAGAAGGAAGGGAAGAGGATAGTGAGAGTAAGGAAGAAGTTAGATATAAAAATGTCTTTGTGTACATATACAAGGAAAATACACCTGAGCACTTGGCCTTCTTTTTTGTTCTCTTTTCAATACTATCATACAACTCTAGCTTTATAATGTCTTTCAGATAATCTTACCCCATCCCAGTTCCTTCCAGTTTATTGTCTATAATTTTCATATTTCCAGAAAATGTAATCCAACACTTATGGAAGATATTGAATTGGAGAAGTTTGAGGCAGACAAAAACTATGATCAACGTTTACCAGTCCATCTGAGGACTTCATTAAATGGAAAAATTAAATTTTAATGATGGAATATTTGCCAAAGAGACCATAAGGTAATCTTGGTATCATCAATAAGTTAAGGATAGGTATTGTTTAATCAAGAAAAGCAATAGTCTAATCAAGAAAAGCAATAGTAATGTCTAATCAAGAAAAGCAATATTTGGTCAATTATCAGATTTGGTAATTTGATCTAGAGAAGCTTCCTATGTAAATGATGTTATATATTATATATACCCAACACCTTGGTTCCATTCCTTTGTTTCTCTAAAATTCTCACTTCTCACAATTTTCACAAGTATCTCACTTTTATCTTCCTAAATACTCCTGGGTATTTATTATGCAAGATTTTATCTTTTTCCCAGAAATATACTTTTTCTAATTATGCAGGTAACTCACCAACAGAAATAATTGTCTGTTTTACTCAAATTATGATTAGCTGGATCAATGAATGTTAGCTTCATTTTTGTTCATTCCTATACAGGAATTCCTATACATTTTTAAAAATGTATATACTGCCCAAGCATATATACAAAAATGCATATTGAAGTTGGTATAAATTTAAACTTTCCTTTTTAAATGCATCTTTCTTACATTTTTTTAAATCAAGACCTGCAAAAATTGAGTTCAGAGAAACAATTACTGTATATTTTAAATCACACAAGAGCAGCAGGCACAGATGATATCAATTCTCATCAAAATTCACAAAGATCAATTGCTCAAATTTACATGTAAGTCCTCGACTAACAACAGTTCATTTAATGACAGTTCAAAGTTACAAAGCACTGAAAAAAGTGAGTTATGACCATTTTTCACACTTACAGCTGTGGCAGTATCCCATGATCATGTGATGAAAATTCAGAGGCTTTGCAACTGACTCACATTTACGACAATTGCAGTGTCTTGGAGGTCATATTTTTGCAACCTTCTGACAAGCAAAGTCAATGAAGAAGCCAGATTCACTTAACAACCATGTTACTAACTTAACATGTTGCCAGAGATTCATTTAATAACTGTGGCAAGATTGTACCATGGGCCAAAATTCACTTAACAATTGTCCCGCTTAGCAACAGAAATTTGGGGTTCAGTTGTGGTCGTAAGTCTAGGACACTTATCGTCCTGCCTGTTCCTTGATCTGGAATAACAGAAATCCAAAACTGTTCACTTAAGCTAGGTTCAGCACTACGTCTTTCTCTACACCGGTTAAACCAAGGGTCCTCAAACTTGGCAACTTTAAGACTTGTGAACTTCAACTCCCAGAATTCTCCAGTCAGCTATGCTGTTGAAGTCCACAAGTCTTAAAGTTGCCAAGTTTGGAGACTTCTGGATTAAACTCTTGGGACTAACAGCAGCATTTCAAAATAATTTTATAAATGGATTTTGCAGGTTTCAGGGTCTAAATATGGCCGAATCCCAAAACATGTACAGTACACCTTTAGTACCTGCTTTCCATTCAAATTAATGCTCAAGGCAACCTAAGCTGTGCACACCCTATAGCTTCTTCCCTCCCCCCTTCATTTCCCCTTCTATCAATTTGATTTGCTTTTAAAATTCTTGGTAATTCTGCTGTTTTTTTAGTGGCTCCCTGACTTTTAAAGCATGTGCCTGAAGCTCACAGTAATATAATACATATATAATGTAGAATGAAAATTAAAACTCAAAAACAAATAAATTGAAAAGACTTTTTATTAATTGAGGTTACATATATTCAGTTAAAAGTTTAAAACACAGACTGTTTATGGAATCTACTCTACAAAGATCCTCAACTTTTTACACAGATTCCATATGTTAAAGAGGATTCCCCCCTCTCCTCTTTTAATACTAAACTCAGAGAATTGACGGTTTTAGAAGTATAGATGCATATACTTTTCTATACAGGGGACAGTCTCCTCTTACACAGAGAGCAGTAAAGCCCTCAGATATTTCCAAGCATGGAAAATCTTCAGGCAGCTGCCTTAAAAATGAAGGGGGAGGGACACATCTTTATGTTATATTAAGGATGACAAGAGACCTTTCCCCTGAGTGTTACATTTTCTTCAAGAAAATTATGGGGAGCTACTTGCTGGAGCAACAAGTTATTTTTCCTCTGTTTTAAATATATAATGTTATTAAAAATTTTATAAAACAGGACTAAACAGTGATAGAAGGAAATAAGAAGGAAAAAAATGAAAGTGCAAAAAAGTAAAAGAAAAATAGAAAAGAAAGCAAAAAAATATTTAAAAGTGGCTTTCAATCTTTATAAGAGTTGTAACCACAATTGTAGATTTACCTCTTTTTCTAAAGTTACACCATGACACTTTACTTTCTGTAATCTAGTTACCTCTCTAAAGTTACAGCATGGAGTTTTACTTTGTATAATCTAATCTAATTAATTATTAAAACCATGGATCATAAGTTCCTTTTTTTGTTTTATGCTAAAATCTATAAGGAGTTTCCAGGTGCCAATAAACATAGATATTGCCTTCAAACAGGTCAATTTGGCCATCTAAGCAAATTCTTTCAGCTTCACCATCTACAGTATTCCTAATATAGTAGCAGGGGTGGGATTCAAATTTTTAACAACCGGTTCTGTGGGCATGGCTTAGGTGGTGGGCATGGCTTGGTGGTCATATGACTGGGTGGGTGTGGCCAACTCAATATCACTCACATCGAGGCACGCATCTCCTCACCTGGCCTCTCATGACTGTGGGGATGCTGCAACAATCATAAGTGTGAAAAATGGTTATAAGTCACTTTTTTCAGTGCCATTGTAACTTTGAATGGTCACTCCACACAAGCAAAGTACCAGCAAAGGAGGGGGGGAAATTCCAGAAAAGTTCCTGAGACAGGAAGTCTAGTCCTGCCAAGAATGTAATAAGGGTTAACGGAGAGGCAGTTTCTGTAAGCAACACCAGAATGTTTCCTTCCTGCCTTCCTTACAGGATTAGGCCAGTAATTTCTTCTAACAACCGGTTCTCCGAACTGCTTAGAATGTTAACAACCGGTTCTAGCAAATAGGTGTGAACTGGTAGAATCCCACCCCTGTATAGTAGTATTACCAAATATTTCCATCAGATTCTGTTTTCTAAATAATTCTCAGTGTGCCTCATCTGGCTTTCCTTTTCTGCCTTTTCTCTTTCTCCCACTTTTATCCTCACTCTCCCTCCCTTCTTTTCTCTTCTCCCCTAATAGCCTTGCCTCCTCTGCAGAACATTTAAATTTAAAAGAATGAAATAACTTTTATTTGTAAGAAATAAGTATCAGTGAAGCTGTGCTCTAGCACTTCAGGAGGAAAGAACCAAATCTTATAGGGCTCAAATAAAAATGGACAAAAAACAAGGGCTTTATAAAGCGATTGCTTTTTTCCAGAAGATTATGGTTATGTTACCAGTACTTTTCATATATGTCAATGGTGCCTTATATACATGGATAATAAAAGACAATCTTTTTATACAGTATAGAAACTTGCTTATTCTGGCCAGCAATATAAAGTAAGTATCCATCATTCTATATTCCACAGGTAAGCTTTTGGATATGGATGTATCACCATAAAATCACATGGTTGATGGGACATTGGAAGATTTCTGGGTCCAACTCGTACCTATAGCCGCTATCTTCATATTATTCCAGATGAATGACCTTGAAACTTTGCCTTGAAAACCTATAATGGTACATTACTTATGACTCCAGGAGGCAGGCTGTCCCATTACTTAATAGCACTTGCCACCAGGAAATTCCTCCATATTCCATGTTTGGCTATCTTTTTGTAAAGCTTGTACCTTGGGTTCTATGGAGAATAAATCCATTTCTCCTATACCTCGCCTGTCAAGTATTAAAATATTGCTATCATTTCTCTCTCTATTTTTCTCTTCAGTTAATGTACTCACTTCCTTTAACTGTTTTTTTCATAGGTTTTAGCCTCCAAGCCCCTTTGTTGCTCCTCTCTGCATTTTCTCCAATTCCTTGGTATTTTTCTTGTATTGTAGTGACTACATCTGAGCACAATATCTCAGGGGTGGGTATCCATGCAGCAGAAAACATAAATATCCTTTCCTGTGATCTCAGTACTACACTTCTGCTGCATTGCATTGGCTCTTTTGGCAGCTGCAACATGCTGCTGGCTCATGTTTAACCTGTGGTCTACCACCAGGATGATCAGATTCATCCTACTAAGCCAAGTACCACCTTTTTTTTACCTGTGCACCTGGTTTTTCTGAGTACATTGATCATAACTGAACTGCTGAATGTTCTTTCCCCATTTACAGAAGAAAGTATACTCATGTAAAGAAAACAGCAATGTTGTTTAAGGGTCAAGTATGGCAAATATGTCATAACCACCCACCTACTCTGAAAGAATCTGATTATTCTTATATTATTCTGAAAAGAGTCAAATAGCTGATTGACTTCTTAATTTTATCTATTTTGGACATAAGCTGTCCAAGGACAATTAGCAGAGCTGCAAGAAGGAATAGTATTATGGGTTTGCTATGCTGCTTTCTGTTGCTCCCTATATAAAGAAAACCTAACTCATCCAGTAACAGGTATTTGCCATAGTTTATTTACTGTGTTCCAAATCACAACCAAAGGACTTGACATAGATGACGCCTTTGGCTTGAAGGAGACAGTGTAAGAAAATAAGTCAAAGCATTACAGTCTGCCACCATTTGAAACTTTCCTTACTCTCAATTTTTTCCCGTCTGAATTTGAAATGGTTTGCTTGGAATACAGTCCAATGAGTATTTATACTAAGCCCTAAATAAAAGTTATCTACCTTAATGACACTGAACAAAGGATGTATCTTTCAATTAGATATTTAAGAAATGATAGGTATATAGAAAATGCAGAAGGAAAATGATCATTTCTGGCAAACCGATATAAATAAAGGAAAGGTTATTGTGTCCAAAATCTTAAATTATCTGAATGTACAATGCCTTTTACACCCTTAAGATTTAGCCTCCGTTCCTTTTAGGCAAGACAGTAAGAAAACAGTTCTTTCTTTGGCAAAAATTTCTGCCTACATCAGCTCATATCAATAGAAGGACTACAATAGAAAGACAGCTGGAAATGACCAAAGGGGTGTGGGGAAGACTTGTGTTATTTTTAGGAACTAAATAGGCTACAAGAATTGAAATGGCTCTCCAACCATTTTTGCTCCAGATTTACAGATTCAAACAAATTCAGTATAGAATAAAAAAAATCTAAAGACCCTCATAGCTAAACTGTCCTTTTCTTCCATTAGACAGTACATGAATATATCCATATGTAATTAGTCTTTGAGTTTTGTTATAAATTAAACTGATTTGCTTTTTTGTCACATAGTGACAGTTTGCTAAATTCCAGAAATATGTCTTATATAAAGCTTTATGTAGCAAAAAAAGAAACATATCCCATCATCCTATTTTTTATTAGTGTTTGCCATTTCATTTCTAGTCCCTCAAAACTTTGCCATAAAGTTATAACTTTAAATTGAATAAAGGGAAAAGGTATTCTGTTATAAAACACACAAAAAGTAAACATAATAACTATTCCATTTGTTTTAGGACTACAGCTCTCCAACTTCTGAACCAGCATAGCCAGTGGCAAAGTAGTAGTCCAAGAACATTGGAAGATTGCAGAAAATTACAAGAGTTGAATATCTCAGAGCAATATGCTTACACTTTGCAAACCTTTGTGTACACAATGTGCAATCCTTTGATTTCCCAAATTAGGTGATTGCAACACTTGGAAATATATGTGTATATTAAACAGAATTTTCTTGAGTATCAGATAATCTGACTTTCTGCTACAAATACAGAAATGTTTTAATCATAAAGTACCCTTTACTTCCTACAGCTGTTTGTAATGTCCACATCTGGGATGATTAGATAATTCTCCTCTTAATGTACTTAACAAGCACATCTATTTAATCTATCTACTAAAAGCCTGCGACACTTACTTGTCTTTCTAGTAGTGCCAACTGTGTTGTGTTCATCAAATGAAAGTACCATTGATATACATTATTTTTAAAAGGTTATTAAAAGTCTTTAGCTGAAAACCTTCATAATTGCTACTTACAGATCCATAGAGTTTGCCTTTGCTGTTCATTGCTACAAAAAGTCCACTTTTAACACCAAAAAGGCTAACCACTCCTCGTTCCACTGGAGAGATTTCCAGTAAACCTTTAAGAGAAGAAGAATACATTAGAAACAAACCAGGATATGGATATAGGATTACATGCAATCATAAACCATTTGAATAAAGAATACCCTACTAACTCTATTACTCTTTAAGATATGTCAGTAGAACCATACCAGTAGGGTTACTTTTGTGGCATGTGGCATGCAACAGCTACTCAAAAGTTTAGGAATATTTATGTGTATCTTGTATTAGGGCTTTGTAGGCACCCATATTAGAAAGCAAACATCAAACTACTGGTATTAAGATTCAGAAAAGTTCCACTGAGCTTCAGGTTACTCTAGAACAGAAATTGGCAATCTCCAGCTTATGGGTTGGACCATCCAGCCACAACTGCAGATCCACTCCAAAAACTGTTGCCAGTCTCTCCCATTGTTCTTTTTCACCAATCTTTTCAAAACTTCCCGGAAGAAAAGGATTGGTTCACTCAGACTTAGAATAAATTGTTGAAGTATTGAAAGCTTTATTTCCCACCACCTTATTCATAAGGCTTAAGAGTTGTTGTGGTTGTGTCCAAGTTGCCATCTTACCATCTGTGGAAGGTCTTTTTTTATTCCCCCATATATTGTAAAATATTTATATGGAACATTGTTGGCACAATTTTCTCCTAGAATACTGTGGGTATTGGGTATTGAAGAATGATATGCACCTAATGCTGAAACTTGGGATTAAACGTCACTTGTGGTGGTATAAGCAAAGACCTTCCATGATATTGGTTCAGTTCTAGTGAAATTAACAGAATGGAGGTAATGACCACTTCTGGGTAACCAAACCATCCATTTTCTTTGCAATTGTCAGCCATCTCTTGCCCTCTTGTTTTGGGCAGCCCTTCTCACTGACCTGATTCTCACATTCAGGAGCAAGCCCATTTTGGTAGGGAGATGGTTGCAATGGGTGGGATAAACATGTGCAGAACCGAGCTACTATTCATTTAACTGGAATCCACATTTTGATATTTCCATGATATTGCAGTTTTGAGGGGAAGGATTTTCAGTTATTCTTTGATTATTAATAACTATGTTCCACTATATTTTATGTTTATATACCACCACGTGCTTCCCCACTTCGCAACAATGAGAAACCCTGTCATAAATGTTGATATGTGTGCAAAGAAACAACCTGGAGGCTGTAAAAACACTGTTATTATGAATCCTGTCAAAATTGCCTTAATCGGGTTTTATTTAGTGAACCACAACTGGCTGGTTCAAGCATGCCGACTTTAAACCATGATTTGCAAACCACCACTAAGTGGGTTCACACATTACATGGAGACAAAGCATACCCCGCCTTAACAACAAGAGTTTTAAAACCTCTGAACAGACTCACTGCAAATGTTATCACTGATTCCCTCCCCACGCTTCAAAAAATATGAGTGATTTGCATTGACTTGAACAAACTACTTTCCATAGACAATATTCTACATGATAACCCACCTCTATACAGAATAACAGCTAGCCCTGCTCAGGATATGCCTAACATATTGATCTACAGTCTCTTGCCTCAATAAAGTTACAGAGCACACAGTCATGAGGTTGATTGTTGCCATGAAAGCCCCCCCCTTTGCCTTTGCCAACTAATGTTAATTATTCCTGCCCCCCTAATTTTTTTTATAATATTTTTTAAAAACTTATTTTTTTTAACACCAACATTTTAATTTTTGTTTAATATTGTGATTCTTTATTATACACCACCCAAAATCCCTCTTTGAGGGAGATGAGGCAGTTCAGAAATGCGAAAAATTAATTAATTAATTAAAAATGCTGTCTAATTTAACTCCTTAGCATGCTCACTAATAGCTCTTCCAGCCCAATTCAGCCAATGCACTGCCTGCTATTATTTCTTTTAGAAGGTGCTTAAAAGCAGCCTTCTCAATCTATTGGTAGCAGTTTCCAAATATGTGGAACTGGAAAGAACTCTGCTGGCCACGGATTAGTAACAAGGGATGCTGGAGTCCGACATAGCTGGCTTGCAAATGCTTCAGGTCTTCCTTCTGCTGTGATTGAAGAGCTAGCAGAGATCCCCCACCTCGCCCAGCTTAAAATAAGTAACTGACATGTTTTAGGACACATGAAACGTTTGTCATGGCGCAGTCTTTAACCCCTCCTCTGGGTCCTATTGTTTCAGTTGGGGTGTTAGTTAGAATTAGAGCTATGGGGCCACGGGGTTAAGTCACGAACAGATGCTTTTAGGCTATCCTAGTTCTTGGCAGAGAAGGATGGGATCTTGAATCCCAAATTAACCACTCCTCAGCCTGTGGCAAAAGCAGGGTTAGGGACTTAAGAGTAGCTGCTCCCCATAACCCTAACCGAAGCTAGGCTTTTTAAGGAAAAAACGTCTACTTTTGTTTAGAAAGTCAGAAGAAGGTCCTGCTTTAAATTGATTAAGCTCAGGTCGGAGGGAATTTCTGAGGGCCAATTCTTAAGTAACTCCTCCCGCTTCTGTTCTTGGCCTGACCTGCACAAGGAGCAGCCAAGTGCAGTCAAATCACCCAATATAAAACCGGGGAATCTCCCTTTCCAAAGATCATGTCACCCGCCTTGCATAACAAACGCAACCGCTGCCACTCATTGAGCTCGACTCTACTGTAGTCAGTTGCCACTGTATTTCCAAGAAGCGCCTTTCTCAGTTTTCCCGGGCAGTCATGAGGACCAATAATTTTGTCGAGGTGAAATGGATTCCTTCGCTTGGATGGCGGCTCTTATCTATTCCGGAGAGACGGCGAGATAATCCCTTCACTCCTTTCACACGTTGCCTTTCCACTTCAAGGCCGAATCCCAACCCTAGGAAAATAGCGGGGGGGAAACGTCCAGCAAAACCCTCGGATCGATCGCCGTCCTGTCTGACTTCGCGCCGGCTTACCCGGCAGCTCAACGCGCGAAGGAAAAACCACCTGGCGTTTTCGGCTTTCACCGAGGGGCGCCTTCGCGTTTTTTCGTCTACCTGGGGGAAAGGGTGGTTTCCCTCGGTTTTAACCCTTTCGTTCCCCTGCCGCAGCGCGAGGCTGCTTTTCGGCAGGTCCAGCTCCTTTGGCTTTGACCCTCGACGCTGATTGCCTGAAGCGGGGAAGGGGAGAGGTTTGGCGCCTTGCCCTGAAAGGGGGCGCGGGGCTTTTCTCCTCAGCGAGGTGTTGCCTCAGAGGACGGACGGGCTCGGTCGAGAGTCTTCCGTCCACCGCGACCAGTTCACCTTCCCGGGGCACAGAAGCAACCCAACCCACGGGCCGTTCACGGGCTCCCCTTTCCCCAACCTTAGGATCCCACGCAGTTCTGAAGGGGGGGACCGCGCTCGCTGGCAGGCCCCCTTCTGGGGGGGGGGGTTTCTCAGCCGAACGGATCCAGGTGGGCAGAGGCGGCGGCGGGGGGGGGGGACGCAACCAACTTACTGTATCGGTTTTCGTCGTGGATCCCGTTGATCCGGCTGTCCGGCAGGACCTGGATGTGAAACCCGATGCCGACGTTGCAGTAGAGGCGCCGCAGCCTCTTGATGCCCAGCAGATAGTCCCCGTCCCGGCTGAGCAAATTCCTTTCCCCGGCGGGGAGCCTGGCCATGGAGCGCGAGAAGAGAGTCTCCCAGCGCCACTCCAGGGTGTCGTTGTGCTGCTGGGCGAAGACGGGCATGCAACGCCCCGCCAGCCAGGGCGACAGCAGTCCCAGGAGCAAAGCTGGCCAGCAGGCCGGATAGGGACCAGTCATCCTGAGCGAACGCGGGCAGCACACGTGGTTCCAGGGGAGGCAAGCGGCTAAAAATACACCTCTCCGGCCAAACTCCTGCCCCAGACTTAGATCCCAAGAGCGGGGTGGGGTGGCGGTGAGGGGGTGGGTGCAGGGAAAATAAACAAACAAATATATATATATATATACATACAAATTTATATACAAATATATAAAGAAATATATATATATATATACACTACACACGAAATATATCTGTATATATTTCGTAGGTGTGGGGGCGGGCAAGTAACTCAGCACCCTGTGGAACTGGAGAGTCGCTGCTTAGATCGCATGGAATTGGAATCCGGTGCGCAACCGGTGGGGCAGGCTGGCAGCAAAGATCGACCCCGCGGCAGCTTCTTCTGAACTTGATCTCCGCTTCTGTCAAGTGGGGACCTTCTCCGCGCGCTCACTCACGGCCCTTCTCCCCACCCCCACCCCCGAAACCACGACATTTATATATCCAGCGGGGCCTTGATACCTATTACATCACCACCTATTGCTGCCTACAAGCGACTTGAACTGGACGCGAAGTGATCACCCCGAGATGGTTCATCACAACCAATTGGGTCTAAGAAGTGGGGGAGGAGAAAGGAGGAGGGAATATATGTCAACTTTTTTAAAAAAATAAAAAATACACGAGTCTTCCGTTACGGATAGTCGAGAAACTTTCACCTTTCGTGCTCAGGACATGCGACTCTTGCTGGGTTTTTCCTCCTCCCCTTCGGTTTTGCAAGCGTGTGCAAATGCTGCCAATTTAACATACGCACAAACACACATATCAAAGAATGCCCAGCGCGCCTCTCCCCCCTCCATCCTCCTCCTCCTCCCCTCAACAATGTCTCGCTTTGTGGAAAACACAGGAATTTAAGATTTGGCTGTTTCCGCGGAACATGCTTTAGAGTTTGCAAAGAAAGGAGGGGACGGGAGAGAGAATCCTTTACGATAGGCCAAAATAGCTAATGCATGAGAGAGTGAAGGCATTTTTAAAGAATGCAAAAAACTTTTTTTTGTTAAAGTTTTTTTTTTTTTTTTTTTTTGAAAAAAAAGAGCCAGGTCAAAAATTTGAAAGCAACATGTCCAGTGTGCTCTGCGCTCGGACAAAATGAAAGGTACATCTGAACAGGAGCTTTAACAAATTGGAAAGATGAGCAAGAGAGGAGAGAGGAGAATCTGCCTTTCAATCAAAATGAAACAAGCCAAAAATGCACTGAGGAGTTGTTAGAGAGTGATAAGGAGTGCCGAATTCTCCAGCGATTTGTTGGAATGGGATTTTAAAGATACTTTTGGTATCTGATAGTTTTAGGTTACCCCAGCGTTTCTAAGAGTACCAGACTGACAGCCCATGGAGAAGCTCTTCTCTGGTTACATATATGCTCCGAGGAGTCATTTTTCTGTCTATATGTATATATATAGAGAGAATATCTATACTATTCCTGCTGCAGGAGCCCAAGCCTCTTTTCTCTTCTCTTTGGGAGTTCTTCCTTTATTGCATGAAAATGAAGAACTTATACTTCGCATATACCTCGCAGCTCATTCTGCTCCTATGGAATTCATCCCCAGGGTAGGGGAGGGGGGAGAGATGTCCTTAAGGATTAGTTAATCAATAGATCCTTCAGCATTTTTATTTCTTGCTCCTTGAAACAAGGCAGAGGAAGACGTGTAAATAGCTCATTAGGTTTACTTGAAAGTAAAGCCCTGGTTGGTTGTTTTTTTATAGCTTATACTCCCACCTCAAGACCCACCACCACCAGACAATTAGCCCTAGTAGAAAGAAAAGGGGAAAAAAAAAAGAATTCCAGGCCATCTTACAAGTTGAATTCTCTCTGGGTGAAACTACCTCTCAACTTTCCTTTCTGTGATAATGGATTTGTATATAGAAATCCACCCAGAAACAAGAGGCAGATGTAAGCTTGCTCTGTTGGGCTCATTCTGTAAATTGGTTCATATCTACTTGGCAGCTGAAAAGGTTGGATCTTGTGTCAGTTTCAAGTTTTCAAAGTTGCAAAGGCAAAGTCAGACTCAAGAAGAAGGACCTGAAGCATTTGAGGGAATTTTCTCTCTAGCAAAGCTGAAATTAAGCATCACAATGCCTAAATCAGGTAAATAAGATTATAAATGCAACTGCACCGTCCCAGAGCATATGCGACTGTAATCTCAAATCCACAGGGAAATCATTAGGCTTATTCCCATCTCAGAATGTGATTGCAGGTAGTCCTCAACTTACAACAGTTAGTTTAGTGACCATTCAAAATTACAGTGGCACTGGAAGAAGTGACTTATGACCGTTTTTCACACTTGCGACCGTTGCAGCATTCCCCTTAGCCACATGATCAAAATTCAGATCCTTGGCAACTGGTTCATATTTATGACACAGTTGCAGTGTCCTGGGGATCATGTGGTCAGCTTTTGCGACCTTCTGACAAGCAAAGTCAATGGGGAATCCAGATTCACTTAACAACCGTGTTCCCGACTTAACAAAAGCAATGATTCACTTAGCAAAGGTGGCGAGAAAAGTTACAAAATGGGGCAAAGCTCACTTAACAAATGTTTCTCTTAGCAACATAAATTTGGGACTCAATCATGGTCGTAAGTCAAGGGCTAGCTGTAATTAATAAAATGTGTTACTGAGAAAAGATACAGGACTACCTGTACTGAGTTGTCCCCTGCAGTGTCAGGGCCGGGTACAGTAGTCTTCATCAGCAGCAGCAACTCTTGACCAACCTCGTAAATCTCAAAAGAAGCTAACAGAATCAAACCAAGTGCTGTAGGCTAAGCTAGAGAGTCTAACAAACATTCCAGAAGAAAAGCGACCAATCATTTCTGGGCTCTTGCCAGAAAAACTACAGAGACGCACATGCCTACCCATGAAGTCACTAGGGGTTGATCTCCTTCCAAGGGGGTCCACCTGCTGAAGAACAGCCCAGGATGGTCCCAAACGCCCCCGTAAGAGGAAAGCACACAACCTTTTAGGTTTCATCCCTTTCAATGGAACGAGGTTCCCTGCGGCTCCAGCACTGAGGCGAGAAGGAATAAAGGAATTGCCCTGAGTCAGATGCCACCTCACCTAAGTGTGAAAATCTCTGACTTTTGCTAAAATCCCAGCACCTCGCCATCCCTCCTCCCCAGCTTACTCTCATATTCACATCAGCTTTCCTTTCTTTTCCTTTTTTCTTTTATTTAAAGGCAGCTGAGTTGAATTAAGGGCTTATCTTGTCCAGAATCCCATTCCCACAGTAGCCAAACAGCTACTGGAAGCAACTGTACAGTCATCTGGACTGGGAATCTCATCCTTCAGGTATTTGCCTAATCCCCCCTCTAAAGCATCTTATCTGGTGGCCGCTATTACATCCCGAAATAGCGAATTTTATGTTTTCACTATGCACGTTGGGAACAAGCTGCTTCTTGTCTTTCCTGAATCCTTTGCTTGTTCTGCATCATCAGATCTTAGAGTGGATCCTAGAGTTATGAAATACAGAGCAAGTATTGTCTTTACATGATTTCATGTGTATCCACTATTGTGTCATCCTTTCACTTCTGTCCCAAATAAGTGTTAGAAAGTTTTCCTTTCTTCAAATATGTTTAGAGAACCAGGACAATATTCTTTATCTTTTCCTAGAAGAGTTTTCAACAACCATGTAATAAGCTTGATTTACCCTGTTGGGAATCCCCAACCCCCCCCCCCCAACCCCCACCATCACCACCACTTTAAAAAATTAACTGAGGAGAACCGCACAACAACCAGAAAACTAATAATAAAAGAAAAAAGAAGAAGGAAAAAAGAAAAACATGCGCAACAACCAAAATGTATGGAATTATTATCCAAGCCGTATTGAACCCCTCTGCCATTTTCAATTTCTTTCTTGCATTTACTATCACTTTAATTTAGCTGTATAGTTTAAAATACTGGAAAGATTTGTAGGAGAAATGTTTACCAATGAATATTAGTCACAAATTGCTAGAAGACACAACATATTTTGCCCCCCCCCCCCAAAAATAATATTAGTTTATCAAAATATCAAATACAGAAATATAAAGAAAAAAATTATACATAAAGGTAAATTAAGGAGGAAAGGTAGAAGAGAGAAAAGTGTAGGGTAGAAGGGAAAAACAAGGGGAAAAAAATCATGACTCCTTTTGGTGCAGTAGAATACAGTAATAACATGAAACCTCAGCTTTTTACTTTTATATAATAATATATGCTAGTCATTTCTATAACAACAAACCTATCTAACATACCTATTAACTCAGAATTTCTTTTCTCCCATCTCAAGCACAAAGTCCAAAAGTGGTTTCCAAATACAGATGGAACCTCTGGTTGCGAACGCTTCCATTCGCGACCAATTCGGGTGACAACGAAAGGTTTTTATGTCTGGTCACAAATGGGTATTCGGGTGGCGACCAAACACAGGCACGGTGATTTGCTGTTCCACATTGATTTCCACTTCCGTGCCATGCCATTTTTTTTTTCCGTGCATGCACTTCCGGGAATGTCAAAATTGGGTGACGACCGAATTCTCGGAACAGATTACAGTCGTCACCTGAGCAGGGATGGGATTCTACCAGTATAACAACCAATTTGGTGAGTGCACGCTCCACATTTAAAAAAGGCAAGCCCATACTTACCTTCAACTGCAGCCTCTGTGAAGAAAACAGCTGAGGCACAATAAACCACTCTGCCACACAAATCAGCTGTACTCTAAACAAAGGCATAAAGCACACAAAAGAGCAGGAGTGGGCGGCCTGGCCCATTTCCTTGTCACAGTGAACTGGTTTGGAGTGAACTGAACATCAGAACAAGGGGTTTGCCAGAATCCGGCCGAACCCCTGCACCTGAGGTTCCACAGTAGAAACAAAATTGTGTTCTTTTCTTTAATCAAATCAGTCAATTTAGCCATCTCTGATTACTCCCATTAAATTTTGCAGCCATTCAAGAGACAAAATATTCTTACTGATCAGATTATTTACTGGACACAGAT